CTATATTGGTTAGTGCCAATGGGCAGTCTTGGCTATAAGATGCTTTAGACCTAAGAGCAGCAGTATAGGAATCATTCTAAAGGACCAATACCATGAAGCTGGGCCAGTTGCATGGGATATCATCATGTGGTTGTCATCTAGCCAGGATGAGCTTATCAAGAGGCAATCAAGAAAATGGTTTCCATGCTACTACTAAAAGTAGTAGCATCTTGTGTTACTTTGTGTTCACATGATCTCATAGCCTCAAACTGCATGTGACCAACCAGTTTATTCTTGGGCAACTTTACACTAATCCATTTTCACAATGTCCAAAGAGCTGATATCAGGGCACAATTGAAAATCAGTAGATGTTCAGGAACTGTTAACATCGTCGAGTTGAAAGATACAGCTGGTGCTGCTGGTAATTTCATTATCCTTTTGTGACTTGGCAGACTTCTGTGCCTTGGCAGTGACTAATCTATTATGGGAGGATATTGATCTAAGCTGGACAGTTTAGTTGGAAGCTGCACAAATGAAATGCCCATTCCATGGAATGAGTCTTTGGCATTTGTGGTTAATGTTTTACACTACATTTGTGAAAACATGTAGGGCAAAGTACATATATCTGGAAACAAATGGGATAAATTGAAGTTTGTTGTTGATCTTGTTTACAAGGAGCATTAGAAAGATCTGTTGATGTTCTGAGCAACAGTCATAAACATACAGAGACCCAGGCAATTTAGTTTTATACCTAGCATGCATTTCTCTCAAGTACTAGCTTCTCTCAAGTTTTGTTGTAATAAACCATCTCAGATATTGGCCTAGTTTGCAGGAGGGAGTGGGAGGAAGGAACCAACCAACCAACCAAGGCATTGATACAGCAAATCATGGTTTGCTCCTTTGCCTGCAAAACCCTGTGTGTTGACATTATGTGCAAACCGGGCCACTGTGCTTTGTCTTCTTCAGGCAGTTGAAAAAAATGTGGAATGGCGAATGCTGTCTGGCAAGTGACATTTTGTTTTGTGATGCTTGTATGTTGCAAAACCAGAAGTGTTTTCAGGGAATGTCACACAGAACTTGATTTACAGTTTGATGAAAATCAACAACAAAAAGGATTGTTGATCATGCCTCACTTTTCTAGTGGATTCAACAAGAACCTAAGCATTCTTGATTGCCTCTCCATTCTTATTTTCAAACATCATGGAATATCCCACCCCTGAGAATTGGTCCTGATGCTCAGAATAGCTGCAATCAGATTATTTTTTTTAGAAACCAATCTATGCCAGTTTAGATAGAAAATAATCCTATTATTCTAGTGTGCCCCAACTCTAAATAACTGGCTGGGTCAGGCAGTTGTTGGGCTGCTTCTCCATCTAATCATGCATAGGTTTGCACTCTAGACAATGTAAGGAGTGGGGGTTGATCCAGATTGAGTCAGACCAACCGAAATGAATGCAAATTAAGTTGGAAAGGACTAACCTGAGCCCCACTGATTTAAATGGCTGTACTGTAGGTATGACTAAATCAGGGATCTAACCCATACTGTTGTCAACCCCCAGTTATCTGGGGCAGGCGGAGAGAGCAGAAAGAGAGAAAGAGCGGGCAAATGGGAAAGAGGAGAAGGGTGTTACAGAGCAGGTTGCAAAAGAACAGCTTCTTTAACATGAAGATTCTGGAGATGGCTTTTTTAATGTTTAAAAAAGAATAAATAGAATAAATAAATAGAAACTATTAGAATAAATAGTTTGGAAAAAGAGTACTTTTCTGATGACAACACAAGAGAAAAGGCCTAACTGCTACTACTAAAAAGCATTGCAATCAGCTCCAGTTTCTTAAGAAAAGCATTAATTCTCGAGAGATCTGATGTGGGGTTACAGCTCAATGGGGAAAGCAGATTCTTTACATGCAGAAGGTCTAGGTTCAATGCCAGTATCTCGGAGCAGCGCCAAGAAACTCTCCCAAAATGGGTGCATTTCCAGAGACTCCAGTCAGAGTATTGCTGCTCGGCTCTGAAATGTTGGGGTGCATTTTGATGGTGGATCATGCATGCCATCCACATACCTGGGATGTCAACATCACTGCATGGTTAATCTGTCTTTGGTGGAGAAGCCATGTTGCTTTCAAAACATTGCCAACTCATTAAAACAACACATTTTAATTATAATCCTGAAATTGTAAAAGAAACCCAATTAATAAACACAGCATAAAAATTAAGCACTTAAGAATTAATGGCATATATGGTTAGGATTAATATTTAATACATATTATTACCAAACTGCTTAAAAAGAGAATTTTAAGATGTGCCTATCTAATATTCCCAAGGATTGGACTAGGACCCCAGGCCATAAATTTACTAATCACATTAGTAAATTTACTGATCACATTAGCTTCCATTCATTAAAGTAGGTGGCTTTAGTCCATCAATTACAGAGCACCCCCACCCCAGCCCTGTGTTTTGGGTCAGGTACTTTGCATTTTTTTAAATGCTAGGAGGAGGATGTTGGAGGATGAAGGACACAAGGGGTCAGGTCTTGGTTCACTAGCCCAGTCAAGCACAACCAGAATGAGAAGGAAAAGGTATGGATTTTATTCTCAAGAACAGTTCAATCACAAGCAAAAGAGTAATAGACCCAGAACAATGGTCCCATCCCCCTTTTTATACCTTCACTGATAAGGTAGCAATGACAGAGGTTCATTGGTTTGAAATTCCTGCCGCACATCCTGATTGGTGCATTTGAATTCGGGTGGTTCCTGCAGGAGTTTGGGAGGTAGTCTAGGAGCCTGGACAAGTGATTGCCCTGTCCTGCCTACCTGACTTAACTCAGGTTGCATAGGAGTAGCTAGTATGAGGTAATAATTCCTTCATTCTAGGGACCTGGGATACCTGAGCAAGTCCCTCCATGTCCTACAAGGGGGTAATGATTTGGTTGCAAATGGGGAGGAGTCAGTGGGTGCAATTTGTGGGTTACATTAACTCCCCACCTTTTCTCCTAGGATTAAAGCAGTATGGCTCTACTGCTGAGAAAGAAAGCAAGGTTCTCCCCGCATGCATTCATCCCCACCACTCAGGCATGGACAGAAGCTGGCCAAGCTAGCAATTGCCCTTGCCAATGCTGAAGCATGGGGGGGGGGGATTCTCCGTGCAGAGGGGGGTCCAGGACACACACCCCTCAGGCCTCCACAATCCCATCCTGCTTTCAGTCGCAGCATCTTCCACCTGAGGCAGCTGCCGCAGTTGGCTCAATGGTCGGGCGGCCCTTAGGTGGAGCACTGGGCAGGCAGCCTGGAGAGCTCTTTACACGATCCCCAGGAATCCATCTCTGCAAGGGAAGCTCCGCCAGATGCATGAAATCCTCCTGTGTTTTCAGTATGCCACTGTAATCTGGTTATGTAAAAATGTGTACACCCAACACTCGGAAAAGTACTGGGCTTCCGAAGGGCAAGGCTGGGTGCGCTGCAGAAAGCGAGAACCGCCCGCCAGGGGCCTCTTCCTGGCCTTCGAAACCACAGCTTAATACATCTGCACCAGGGCAAGCGAGCAAGTTGCCGAAGCCCAGATCATGCGATCTTTCCCTTCCACCGGCGTGGCGATGCTGGAAGCGCTCGCCCCCTCCTGCAGAGGCCCCCTCGAGGAGGCTCCAGAGCCTCGGCGAAGGACGCGCTCGCGCCGAGCCCACCGCGGCCCCTCCTCGGAGCGGCGCGGGAAGGCGGCGCGGGGGCGCCAAGACGCCTCCGCCCGGAGCCTGCTGCTCTTGCGGCGCTCGCGCGGGGCGTCAGGGCACCCCCCCCCCCCGGAGCTGCCCTGCTTCTGGGCAGAGGATGGCGCCTCTTGCCCTCGCCCGCCGCTCGCTCTTCCGCGGGGGACGCGGCGGCGGCGGCGGCGGCGGCGGCGGCTCGGTGCGCGCACGACCGGCGGAGAGCGGCGCCCTCGCGGGAGTTGCCTGCCAGGCGGCGGCTCGTGCACCAGGCAGGTGCACGCTCAGCCCTCTCATTGGCAGCCGCAGCCGGCGCCTCGCGGCTGCCCTGCTCGTCCCTGCGCCTCCTCGCCGCCTTCCTTCCCTCCCCTGCAGACAGGTAGCATGAGCGCGAGCAGCGGCGCGCGCCGCGTGTGGCTCTCCGTCCTCCTCCTCCTCCTCCTCCTCCCCCCCGCTCCCTGCTAGCACTCGCGGGGAGCGCGGCGGCGGCGGCGGCAGCCAAAGGTCGCGCGCGGCGTGTCCCGCTGAAGCTCGGCTCGGCGGGGAGAGGAGGCGGCTCCATGCAGGCGGGCAGCCCTCAGGTAAGGGCGCAGTGCGCAGCGGACCTGGGTGCGGGGGAGGGCGAGGCGAGCGAAGTGGAGCGCCCGCCGCCGAGGAAGCTCTGCGGCGGGGAAGGCGCGCCGCCCGGGAGCAGAACTTCGCCGGCTGCTCCGCGCGTCTGGCTCCCGCGCGTCTTTCCTCCTGGGCGAAGCGCGCAGCCCTCGCCCCGGCGCGGCTCCGAGTGACCCGGACGGTCCCCGGGCGAGGGGCGCGGGGGCGGCTGCTCGGGGAAAGCCTGCGTGAGTGAGACGGAGGGAGGGCGAGCGCGGAGTCTCGCCGGCAGGGAGCCGAGTGGCGTGCAGCCGCCCGCGAGAACGCCGGCAGGGGCTTGCGGGGAAGGGCAGAGTTCCCGCTAGCGCAGGGCTCCTCGGACCTGGGCAAGGCTCGCGTTTTCCGGGGGAGGGTCCGCAAGCGGGGTCGGAACGGCTCGGGAGCGGGCAGCACGGCGGTCCTTGAGCGAGGCGTCCTCCTCCTCCTCCCGCCACCAGGGCGCGCCCAAGGGCCGCGTGGGCAAGTGGAACGAGCCGCGGGCGTGGGGCACGTTTTAGCTGCGTGCAAGTGGCCGGAAAGTGCTGCCCGCGCCCGCCTGGATGCAAGGGCCACCTCTTAAAGGGGTCTGTGCGGACAGGTGAGCAGGTTTGCAGTGCGAACTGTCATTGTTCTGAAGCCGATTGCTTGTCCCTGTTTGCAGACCATTGCAATCCGGATGCCCTTTGCGGATGAAAGATGTATCATGGAATGAACCCGAACAGCGGGGATCCATTCCTAGAGAAACAGAAGCAGCCGCCCCCGCCGCAGCTTCAGCGCTCCCAGTCCAGGCTCTCCCTGGTGGTCTTGTGGTTCCAGCTGGCGCTGTGCTTTGGCCCTGCACAGATCACGGGCGGTGAGTGAGTGGCAGACTCATGTGACAAGCAGTGGCTGAGCATCGAGCTGCGGGGGGGGGGGGAGGGGGGGGGGGGGGGGGGGGAAGGGGGGGGAGTCGGGCAGGCTGCTCCTGGCAGGCAGGTCCCTTTTCATGCAGGAGGAGACAGCCTCTGGCTATTGATCTCATATGCACAAAATGCTGAAAGGGGAAAACATCCTCCCACAGGCTGGCTTGCCAGGTTGCCTCTCACATTAGAGAAAAAATGCCGAAGGAAAAAAAATCCAGCCATCGCTTTCCTTTCCGAACAGCTAAGAGGAACAACCCCTTAAATGAGTCCAGACGCCTAAGTAAAAGAAGGAGCCCTTCTGAGACTGCAGAAGATTCTGCTTCTGCTCTCCTAGGAGCACTGATGCTCCATGTAGGTCAAGGCAAGATTCGCCTGTCCCTTGCACACAGAGCCCCGCTTCGGATTACATGGCAGTTTCCTCGGCCTTTGCTCATGCTGCACTCCACGCACCCAGGAGGAATGCTCGCCCCTTCTCTGCAAGAAAAAGTCAACCCACACGTGAGATATTAATAGGAGGAAGTCCCACCAGCCTTACTCTTCCAAAAGTGCATGTGAAAAAAAATGGTGCACAGATGCTGATGGGGGAAAAGCCTCCTTTCTCTCCGCACACCCACACTGATGAGTGCAGTGATATGAGACATCCACCCACATTGTCAGAAACTCCTCTAAAATACAGCAAGGCTAACATGGATCCGAACAATAGAGACTTTCCATAACATTCAGCCCCTAAAGATGGGGGCAGCATGCCCACTCCAGAGGAACCAGTGGATGTGCAGGCATCTGTTCTTCTGTCGTATTGCTAGTGGGGGCAAAAGGCTAACTTAGGGGTCAGACGGTAGAGGTAGCTGGCACTTCAGCAGTCAAGATTGTACTGAAAAAACAGGAGGAACAAGGAGCTGTTGTAGCAGGGACTTCCCTTGTGTGTAAGTTGCCCAAAAGGGGCAGTGGACTCACTTTGCCAGGGGGGGGGGAGACTGGCCCACCGCTGCTCCATCTGCTTGACATCTGGCCTGCCAATAAGCCTAGCCCCGGTCCAGGCCATTAGCTGAACCAAACGGCTGGTAGAGTGAATTACAGGGCTTCATTTTGGCAAATCATAGCTCCCCACCTGTTTCTAAATCTTTTACAAAGAAAGAATTCTTCTGCTCCGTTCTATATTTTCAGCTTTCAGAACCAGGGTCAGGATGAAACTCCTTGTTCAGCTTTTCAGTGAATTTTTAAGATGAGATAGGGAGCACTCAGATCTGTGTATTCCCTCTACTTTGAAAGCTGTTGGCTTTTTGTTTAAAATTTTGGTTATTGGTAGCATTTATTTATCACGTTTTACTGAAGACTTTAAGATGTTTTGAACTGCCACTATAGTCCTCTGAAGAGCAGTTGCTGGGGAGACGACAGGCAGCAGGGGAATCTGCTCCCCCCCCCCCCACTGCCCCAATGCTGCTTGTGGGCTTCTCAAGAGTATCTGGTTGTCTGCTTAGAAAACAGGAGGTTGGGCTGGAGAGGCCTTTGGCCTGATCCAGCAGGGCTCTTCTAACGTCCTAATGAGCCCTTTCAAAATGGAATCAAACCTGACTCCTTGGCTGGAAAGAGGCTGCAGGAAAAACCTTCAGGGGACAGATTTGCTTCAAAAAGATGCTTGGGGAAGGAACGGTTTCTCTTTCATGTAGGAAATGGCAGCACCTCAGTGCATGGCTTGGCATTTTCTAGCTGGCACATACAGCATGTCGAAAAGCATCACAGCCAACAGGTTGTCTGGATTTCTTACGTGGTGTTGATTAAAAGTAGGTGCCTATTAAAGTTAGACTCAAACAATCTGCACTGCCTCTTGTTTTAACTTCAGGCCAGAAGTTCTTTGTTGAAGATTCTTGGCAGTCACAAGGACAAATCATCTGTTCTGGAGCCTATCAGTAGGGACTCACTGAAGGTTTTTAGGTGTTCTCAGTTCCCACTCCTTACACGTTTACCAAGGTTGGAGTTGTTTGATAGACGAGGAGATCCCAAAAGCAGAGTTAAGTGAGCTGGTGTAGAAAGTTGTAAGGGTAGCTCATTCAAACGCACAAGAAAAGGTGAGGAGTGGGCAATTTGTGACCTTCAAGGTGTTTTGACTTGGACTACCGTGAACCCTCACCATGGACTCTGCTGGGCAAGATTGATGAGAGTTTTAGGCTAAAACATCTGGAGGGTCACATGTTGCCCACCTAGGTACACAGCAGTGGATTCCTATATTGTAGACTCATTGATAGTGTAGCCATAGGAATGCAAAGCGATGGAGTGTGCGTGGGCGGAACAGCTTCTCCAGCGTGTGCTAGGCTTGCGTGGCGCTCTGACTTGCAAGCAAGGCCTGGACTGCAGGTCACCCTGCGGGTCACCCTGCGTGACTGCAACTGTTTCTTCCCATCCCTGTGGTTTTAGTGCCCTTACTTGGAGACTGCGTTGTAGTGCCACATGTCTGCTTCACCTAGTGGGTCAAGAGTTGTAACAACTTTGTAACCATAGCTGTCTAAATATTTACATTCTGCTGAGGGCATTTCTTAATTGCAATGAAAGTACAGCTGCTGGGTTGCTTTCCTTCTCCCTTTGTTGTTGCTTTTGTTGGATTAGCAATCTGAAATTATTGCAATCTTATGAAGTCACTTGACTTCTGTTGAAATTTAGTGGAACTTGAATCCAAGCAGCCAACAATTTTCCAAATTAGAAGATGGCTGCTTCAACAAAAGATACATCAGTGCCTTTTTGAAGGCAATACTTTAAAAAACTGTGGACATTGTAAACTAGATTGTGTAATATTGTGGGGCCTGATTGATATTTTCCTCTGTTATGGTAGCACAAACTGTGGAACAGCGTTAGATATTAGAATGGCCGCTAAAGTTTTGTTTCAAATTAATGTATAGATCATTTTTGTCCTTCAGGGTGAATTAAAAGGTACCATCATACAATTATTGATTTTGTAAGACTACAGGCAGATTGTCTTCTGAGCCATTCTGTTTGCTTAATTCATTAGGAGAGCAGTCCTATGCCCCCCTAGACAGCATCTACCTGCTGATCCCCCTACAGATGCTTCTCCAAGGGTAAAACATGGGTGGGTGAGGGGAGACAAGGTATCCTTCCCTCTCCCTCAGAAATACCTGAATTACAGAGCAGATCTGTTGCTCCTCCCATGCCAGATTGGATGCTTGTGAATTTAGCTACATCATGGGTGCATCTGCCCTAAATGAACTTTTGTCTAAGTAAAAGGAATTAATAGGAAACATTGACTTCCAAAATACCAAAATAGCTATTTCCTTTGTACTTTGATAATAAATATTAATTGCAGGAATTGTAGCTATAAATACAGGTGTAGGTGTGCATGCGTTTATGTATGTGCATATGCTACTTGTTTGTTGTTTATGTTCATTCTTCAGATTTCTGTAGCCATGCATTAGAAGTTAGACTAAAGAATGTGCCACGGACTAAGTTAACGGAGCTAGTTTAATCAATGCACTGCTCTCCCAGAAGTGATTCTGGCATAACGTTTGCCATTTGAGATAATATGTTACCCAAGTAGCAAGTTGCTCATTGGTCTCTGGTCCCTGGTTAGCTGCTTTCAATATTTATACGCAGGCAAGTAAAGATGGGTGCTTAATATCAAGGAGTCTGAAACTGCCCACACCCACTTTTCTCACTGTGCCTATGCATGTGCGTTTTTGTTCTAATGGTATGTATTATATTATCAGTATTTGATGATGTTACTGTCTATCTGGATTTTCATGTAATTGTCTGCCTTTGAGGGAATTGATTTCTACAGTGTGCCTCAGTTCAGAAGTTCGTTCTCATTTTTAGATGGAATTAAAAATGCCACAGAATCTCGTTGGTCTTCTAGCATTCATTGGCCCCTATAAGGAACAATGATCTATTCTTTAACAAAAGGTTGCAGAATATTTTGGCATTATTTAACATGGTGGAACTGGGTCCACCTGTTTGCCAGTTAAGCAGCTAAGGCTGCAGGCAACATAGCCATGAGAACAAAGCCTAAAATCATGCTGAAAGCTATTTGGTAGGGAATTGGATTGGAGGACCAATATCTCTAAGCCCCTTCCCCTTCCCCCATGACCCTATATCTGGAAGAGCTGATAATTGCAGTTACAGCTTCCTTTAATAGGACTAACTCATCTTGTTGGACTAGTTTGGGGAATCCTGTACAGAGCATCCTTTGCCATGTAAAAATGTTACTGGCTGGATTAGGGAATTGGGCTGTACAGTGGTTGGTCAGGTACAGCCAAAGATTTGTATGAAACCATTGGTGTTTGTGACTCTTCCTGCATCAAACAAGAACTGTAATCTATTGGAAGCCTGATTCCCCTCAGTTCCACTTTGATTTTCAAATGCTCTAAGCTGTGCATGAGATTCCCCCCCCCATATAAATGACCCCAGATGCCATGCCTGTCGATCTACAACTACGCATCTGAAGGCAAACATTTTAATCTGATTTGTTAAAACAGTATAAAACAATGTTTTCAGTCTTAAAAAGCTGTAGCACAAGGAATGAAAAAGTTTTTAATGTAGGGTGGGCAACAAATAGCCTGTGGGACACAAGATGCTCCCAACGCCCCTGCTGCCTCCTGCATTCTGGTGAATTTTTGTGGGGAGGGGGAAATGTGCTTACGGTGGCCCAAAGGCTCAAAATTAGTTGTCTGCAAGTCTTTTGGCCCCCTTAACTTTTGGTCCATAACCTCTACAGAGTGCGAAAAGGCTCAGCCTATGAACAAGCCAAGTTATTGTGGTGCTCAGTAGATGCTTTGATCTATGAATGGCACTTTTTAACATTTAAATTTTTGGGGTGCCTACGGATTATAGTTTGGGAAGCAGAATGTCTACATACTGCCCACAGTTGCTTATCCCTGTTTTAAGTGTTCAGACTGACAATGTGATGTTGATCAACCTTCTCCATTTCATGCTGTCCAGATGTTTTGGG